CTATCCTAAGTTGGTACCCGTCACTCTTTGTTCCTGTGTAAACAGGTTGCTTTTTTGGCAGGGTCATGATGACCAAACATTTATCAAAGAGGACATCTGCTTCTGATCTGAGGGGGTCTAGACCTGATGAATGATAGTGGCTTCTTCTCAGGTGTTGGTGTGAGACTTGGAGGAAAGACATTCAAATATGGCTGCTCAACTTTACCTAACTTCTACAAAATTATTTCAGTTTTGGTTTCATTTGTGTTTGGAGGTAATTTTTTCTTAAAGGTGGTATCACAGATGACATTGGGATTGCTAATGAAAGGAGTAAAACTGAGTAGACAGTATAAAAGTTTATTGTGAGTAGGAAATAGTACTGATAGGTCTGGATTAGCAACAAAGGGTCATCTAACATAATGTTTAAAAGTGTCAATTTGGTTCACCACAAGTAAATTTAAGACAGATAAAGAAGCACCTCGTTATTTCCATGTCAAACTGGACAAGCAAAACATGATTTCCAGAAAGCAATTTTGATAGGATAGTTTATAAAATGAAGGTTAATAGTTCTATTTATGGAAACCTCAAAACCTTTTAAAAATAATTAGAGTTCTGTTTCAGGATTCAAATAGTAATGAAATTCTTCTAGAGAGTTAAACTTCATAGTTAATGATTAGGACTACAAGGTGAAGTGGTTTTCTATTACTGTTTAAGTTTCCTGAGGATAGTCAAATAGGAGTGATGATTTGTTCATGTCTACTGGAGTACTCAGCATTACTAACAACGACGACACCTGTCCCTCAGCGAATACAAGATAAAAGTAACATGCGAATGAAACATCAAAAATTGGTAACCGGATAAGTTAATGTTGTCAGGAAAAATGTAGAGTTTAAATTTACAATAAACTTTCATCAGGGTTTATAGGTAATTGATAGGGGCATCCTCAAAATGTAAACATTCTAAAAAGTTGCAATCAAAGTAGAATAAATGAGCCTTTAGTCAAGTAGAAATAAGCTTAAACAAACAATGTTTTGAAAGCATTTAAAGATCATCTTATAGAAGGGAATCTTTATATTTAATATCAACATTAACAATCATATCTGTTAGAGGATGTTAGATACATGTATGTGACCATTAACATTGGAGATGTTTGAACATAGTCATTTGGGCAGAATTCCAGGAATGCCACTTACTTGTCATTAAGTGTTATTACACAAGTTTAAGTTAAAGAAAATGTGTTTCTTTTTTCTAGTATTAAGGAGGTCAGAGGCAAAGTGCAACTTATTGTTGAGTTTGCAGTATCAGATACATGTTTAGCTGTCAAACAATGTAAGCAGAATATTAACAGGTGTTACTAACGCTTCAGGTTTAGTCTAAAGCACATTGGATTGAATTTGTTGGATTTGTTACATCAGGGTGTTTAAAGTGATTGATTGTAATCTTAGTTTAAGGAAGATTATGAAAAGTTAACAATTTAGTTAGTTTAGTGAAATGTGACTGTTTATCCTGAGGATCAATATTTTGTTTTGTGGCTCTGAATTTATAATATGATGATAGGAATATAAAAATGATAGGAATAAATGCAGAATATTTTTCATAGGAGTAGACCATTAACAAACCCAATGTCATCTACAGTATCTCCTAAGAGGCTTTGCCAGACTTCTGGTAAGGAAGGAAAACTGAACCACTCAGCTTTTTTCTGTTGATCACACACTGTTATTTGTCAGTTTCACTGTCTAAAAATGGAAATTGTTCTTGTGGGGTTTGTTTTGCCAAAAAAACAAAAATTGCAGTCAAATTTTGGAAATGTTACTCAGTGAAATTCTCATAGATTGTGTGGTTCTTCCATCACAAGTGAAAACAAAATGATCTACCACAACTGCACTTCAGTACATTTAATTTGATGGAACAACTTGTTGAGAGAGTGAGTTTTTTAAGGATAATTTTTCTCCAAAACGTAGTCAAATTGTAAAGTAGCCAGCCATGTTAGAATGTGTTTTTCTGATTCACACGTCATCATCTAGGCTGAGGTGGTTGTCATTTTGGTGGTCCAGGACTCCACTGGAGATAAAGTAGAAAAGTCCAATTCAAAACAGCTTTCTCATTAATCCCTTTTTTTTTTTTTTTTAAATCACTTCCAAAACGCATTCAAAAATTTTGCAGCCTGGTTGCCTGAACAGGGGATGACGTCCTTGAAACACCCCATACAGACTCAGCAAAAATTAGGTTGGCCAACAGTGAATCCTTTCTGACCTTTGTTTTGGCCATTGTTTGCTTGTTTAATGAAGTGAAATGCATTTTAATTATGTAGTGCAGGATACCAGTGGTGCAGAGTGCCAGTGACCCATCAGTGGATTTCCCCGAACAGTAGGCATATCAACCATAGTACCTGGGCCACAGACAGTCACACGCCCCAGACAGTAGAGGGCGCCAACCAGCAAATGTATATTTAGCACAACACCGCTGCTTTTTTTTTTTTGGAAAACAAATGGGGTCCCCTAGAATAAATTCACACAGAAAATTTGAATAAGGTGTCCTTTGTCTTTATTTCTCACAAATAAAAACAATCCCCCTCCATGCAAGGAGGGAAGGGCGTCTAGAAAATAGTCAACCAAGGATGATTCTTCAGAGGATGGACCCAGAAACTCGCGCATGGTCTTGGAAGGGCAACTGCAAAAGTTTCTAGTGTCAAAGTTCAACTCCAGAAACCTTTGTAGTTCCTTACTATGCACATATTTCTGGCTCCTCCCCTAAAGTGGCTACATTGCATCATGAATATGCATATCTACGGCCACACCTTTGTAATTTGTATACAACCTCTATACATGGAAATCATATACAAACTACCCAAGGTTAGGTCATAGGATGCGTATCCAAATTCACTGTAGCCATGTAAGGTATCATTGCCTACCTTAATCAGTGACCTTTGAACCAAAATGGGGACTGTTTTAGGTTTATCACCGAGATGCATGCCTGAACCTGGGATGTTGTCAGTTTTTGTTCTAGCTCACGCGCCCAAATGGATTGGATACTAATTTTCAATTTAATTTTTTGCAGGAATAACGGAGCCAGTCGCTGCACAATAACGTAGACGCAAGCTTCATTGGCCAAAGGTCACTTGATAAGGTAAGAAGCAATACCTTCAATTTTGTAACCTGTTACCTTCAACGAGTCTGAATAATTAAATCATCCCTGTATTCATCTTTGAAATTACTTGTCGACTGTTCAATTGTCAAAAAGACAACGTATTGTCAATATACATTTTGAAATGGTACTATGCAACTTGCAAGCGCATTTGATAAAATAGTGAAGTATTTTAAGGACTTCTGATTTGAATTTGCATTAAGAGCTTGGCAGCAGTTATTTTGATTGCAAAATGCTTTGGATCCTTTTGCTGGGCATGTTCGTCAACAAATAGACTCGCCATCTCAGTAACAGGTTACAAATATCCTTTGTTGACCACTTAGTTGAGAAATTGCCAGTTGATGTTAAGGCAAGCTATCTGTGGTGCTATTTTTATTTTGTTTGAGTTTTGGGTGCATGACATGGTTTTTACTTTGGAGACATTGTACTTTCTAAGCCGTTTTGAAAACATAAGCGATAACAAGGCTATGAATTATGAATTTGTCAAAAGTTCACTCTATCCAATTGCTTTTCAAATATTCTGTTTACAATTTAGGGCAAAGAGATTCCAAGCACAAATATTTTCCCACAATTTTCCTTGTGGGCACCTTACAAATAATCAAACTTTGACACAGCAAGACTGATTTATGAACGAAACATTTCTGAAAGGTTGTGGAACATCAGCTGGCAAAGTCTCATCTTGGAAGTAAATGTTCGAGTACAGATGAGGTTGAAAAATTCTCCAATTTCAGTTGAAGCT